CTCCCCCCCCCCTCCCTGATCCGCCCCTGGGCCGGCAGCTCGGCTTGGTCCGCGAGGCCCTCCTGGGGTGAGATGCACACCACCCCGACAACCCCTCGCGGGCCGGTTAGGGGTGTTCCGGGGTGTTCCCGCCAGGGTCAGCATGCTCGCCCGGGCTTTACTCTCTTCCAACACATTCGGATTCACCTGGAAAGCCATCCGCTGCGCGGGTTTATTTCGCTCTCCAGTCGTGCGTGTGCTTTTTCAGAATACTAAGCAGATGGATTGCAATCCCGCCCCTCGCATCTCTTCTTCCTCGTGTTATTCTCTCTCTCTCTCTCTCTCTCTCTCTCTCTCTCTCTCTCTCTCTCTCTCTCTCTGTTCAGTACATAACAGCAAACAAACGTAAAACTACGCCGAATTCGGGGTAATCGCGCTAGCCACCACTTCCCTCCCCCCTTTTCTACCACCGGCTGGCTTTTTCTTATTCCTTTTAAAGAATGTCTACCACCACCACCAGGCCGACATGCACGCTTCTTTTTATTCCCCTCCAGGGCAACAAACTGCAGTACGCCCCTAAATGGGTGTCGGAAAGGGATGCGAGGGGCGGGGAGGGGAGGACAGGAGAGGGGGTGATTTAGGGGCGGAGAGGGGGAGGATGGGGAGGTGAGGAGGGGGAGTGACGGGTTGCTATCGCGGCGCCTACCTCAACGGGGCCGTGGCGAGGCACGGGGCGAAGCTTATTGTGAAATTTATGCACCCTCCCTTCAGCCCCTCCCCCTCCCCCTTCCCCCAGGCCGAGCGAGCAGGCCCTCATGGTGCGTTATCAGTGGCCAGCAGACGGGTGTACAACAACCAGGCACTCCGTGTAACTACAGTCCTTAACGTGACCGTTTTTTTTATTTTTGTTTTTAAGACAAGCGACCCCGCGCCACCGACGGTCTTGAAAGTCACTCGACGGGAGCAACTGGGGTTTTCGCGTTCAACACACAATCTAGTCCGTGTCACCTTTTCTACAGGAGTCTCACATCTGCGTATCGCACAAATTTACACTGGAAACGCAAGTGTGTAAATGTCGCTCACCTGCAGGTGTGAACACCATTCGTACACTTAGAGGGGTAAAGGTGTGAACTTTTCCTAGAAAATTCACACGTTTACCTCCGTAAGTGTACAAATGGATGTTCACACACCTACAAGTGTGCGACATTCACACACTTGCGCTTTCAGTAAGTGTTATTCAGACGGGTCGCGACTCGAATCAATTCTTGGTGTAGGTGTACTATGTATTATGTTGCGTTCGACATAAAAACTATCGTTTTTGCCCTCACGATGATCCGCAGCTTTGGCGCCACGCACCCTTGCGGCACCCTTGCAGTGCCCGGCGCAGGGCTCCGGGGCCCCCTGACCAACACGCGCCCCACCCCACATCGGAAATGGCGAGTGGATTAACAGCGATTGTCATTACCTGATCCTCCGCCTCCACCCTAATTTGCCCCCCCCCCTCCCATGCGGCGGGTCTGTAGGGAGTCCTTGCGGCTGCAGCAGTCCAGTTCGGCTGCCCCGAGGTGCCACTAGGCTGCACTAGCAGCTGCAGCAGCCCGGCTCGGCTGCCACTATCTTGCCGTCGCAG